CCCCCCCCCCCTACAGACATCGCTCTCGCTCCCTCTCCTATAGCTGCCTATATATGTTAATAACTTGGATCCTCCTTTTCTCTGCTAATAACTTGGATCCTCCTTTTCTCTGCTCGCAGGCCTTGCTAGCCTTCCCTGCAGCTGATTTTATCAGCTCTGGTTTAAAATAGGAGTTACAAAAGAGGAGCTCTGTTAGCAAGCTGTGGTTTGTGCAGTGCAATTCCCCCGTGCATTTCCGATGCGGTTCCAATATTGTTGCTGCGATCTTCTAGATGAAAATAAAACCTACATTGTTAACGCTGGCCTTGGTTTGGAATTAGAAATGACGTTTAATGTTTACCATTTTATACCCTAAATATTGCAGATGTGGGCACAAATAAGGAAACATTATGCAGTCGCAGGATGTTTGTGTAGTTATTATGAAAGCCGTTGTAGCTCTAAAATCAAAGGGAATTAGCTAATAGCCAAAATCGTAAAAGAATATCTGCTTCAATCAGAAGTCCTCCCTCTGAAGTCTGTGAGGCTTGTGCTTCTGAGGCATGTGAAAACTTCTGAAAATTCTGCCCCCGGGGATAGTCCATGTTTAGGCAGCTGACTTTAGGATCCTATTTTTGGAACCTTTGGTTGAGGTTTTAAATTGGATTTTTAGTGGGAATGCTGCCTGAACTGGTGCTGTAAGATCTTGAAGACTATATGTAAGATTAAAAAAGACAAACGAGGGGGATATCATTCTTTTCTGGGGATAGGCTTCTCTTTATTACATTTTTAGATATCGTAAAAGAACGATGTGGCATAAATAAGCCTTCTTTCCTTTTTGCAGAGCATCTTTAAGTAGTCATTGTAGCCTTTCATGTTGCTAGTTTCCTTCACTGTCTTTTAGAATATCACCAGTAGAATTTCATGGAAAATGGTGTTCTCCTTAGTGGAGTGCATCAGCACAGCTTGAAAGTATGTTTTCATGAGATATTGTCCTATTGCAAGTACAGTACGTTGTTGGATTGTAAACTAAACGTACCCTCAAAGTTATGTGTGAAGAAATCTTTGTATGAGAAAAATGGGCAGGATTACAGCGTGGTGCATAGATTGGAGCTAAATGACAGTACTTGTGATTTGTACCTGAGGACGTGATCTTAATGAAGTGGCACAGGTTGGAGCAATACGTCTTCTGCCTGCAGTCTGGGGCAACTCAGTGTTGGATTCAGTGATGTTAAGTGGGCATCTAAGATTAGCAGCCAGAATTAGGAACCAATTCTGAAAATAATGGCGTGAGCGTGTCTGGATCTGAATATGCACTCTACAAAATGGACAATCTAATATTTGGCAAGACTGGATATCAAATTTATAGTGAAAGCTTAAAGAATTATTGCTTGTAAAGTGTTTAGAGATCTTCTAAAATCCATCTGTAATTATATTACTTACGTATATTCTTCTAACATAGCTGAATTTTTCCTTTATTTCTGTAGGACAGATCTTGCCAGCAAACCGAAACACACCAAGTCCCATTGATCCTGAGACTATCCAAGTTCCCGTTGGCTATGAACCTGACCCTGCAGATCTTGCTCTTTCCAGTATTCCTGGCCAAGAGATGTTTGACCCTCGTAAGCGCAAATTTTCTGAAGAAGAGCTGAAACCACAGCCCATGATTAAGAAAGCTCGCAAAGTCTTCATTCCAGATGACCTGAAGGTAAATTGGAACTGGTGACGAGGTTGTTTGTACAGACTCTATGGCAGTTATTCCCTGAGCTGTAGGTTTGGAGCGCGAATCTGTTTTCTGATGTAAGGTAAATCTGCCAAACTAAATTACGACTTTGTTGTAGAGTAAAACTATAACAGTTCTGAATGAGACTTGATGGGAGGATGTCCCGTGTTAGTTATGCAACAGTTGAGATTCATGAGATCAATATTCATTTCCTTTGTATGCCAGAAACTTCCTGCGTGACCTTGGACAAGCTTACTTTGTCCCATATTTCCCCACTTATGAAACAGTCTGATCAAGTTTCCTTTTCCTTCATCCTCTGTCTGTCTCATCAGCATAGACTGAATTCTTCAGAGAATAATCTGTCTCTTATAGGGTCCATGGAGGTCTCTGATGATGACAGGATGAAGTATTTGTGTCTTGTTTGGTAGGTGCTTTACCTCTGTGTGTAATAATGAATGAGAGCACTATAGTAAACACTACTAATCTAGGTGAAAGAATCTAAGCTAGTTATAGGAAAACAGAACAAAATTATTCTGCTGAGAAGTGTATTTTAATACCATCTTTAAAACATATTATTATTATAATACAGTATTTAAAAAGAAAGAGCACCCTTGTCTGTGTCTCTCACTGCTTCTAAGATGTGAAAAGCAGAGAGCCTGAAGAGAGCAGTTGATCAACTGATTCATCTTATCAAACAACTGTGAAAATTGTCATAATTTGCAAAATTCTGTTCCCGTTATGTGATTTTCAAGAGGATCAGAGGTAGTCAGTGCAGAGTTTCGTTCTGCTTTTCTGCTGCCCCCCAAGACACAGACTGAAAGCCTGTTGGAGTCAGTGGGAATCCCTGGCTGCGCGTGCGAGGAGCCTGGGGTGCCACGTGTTTACACCAGTGATAGCATTAGGGAGAGAAGCTGATGCTATTTGCTATTTTTATCGCTAAGGATACTGTTGTGCAAGGTAAAAGCACAGAAATCACAATTCCAGTGGTGTTCAGGTGGTAAGTCGCTGTCACTTTGTGTGCAGTATGCTCAGCTTTCATTTAGAAAGGTTTATCTACACCATGCCATCGCTTACCTGGGCAGGTTTTACTACCAGTGATGCTGTGTTGGCACTGCAGTGTGCTGAAAGGGCTGCCTAAAGAGAGGTGTTCCACGCTGGAGTTTGCCCTTTAGTACCATTCGTCATTTTGCAATATCTCCTTGGTATCCTCATTCATCAAAGCAAACTTTTGCCAAAGATGCCGTTGGACTACTCCATGCCAGAGGTAGAAAATACGTGTCTGTCTTACAGCAGCCTAGGACCGACGTAGACGTTCAGGGTCTCTCCCTGAGATAATCACATCGGTTGCCCTTGACTCATATCAGAGTGCTTGACCCAAGTGCTGCTTCTGCCCTGGCATGTGGAACGGCAGTTGAGTTCTGGGGGAGGGTAAGCAGATTAGACCAGTCAATCGTCTCTGGGTTGCATGTGATTTTGAAATGCCAGCCTTACCTCTTTCAGGCCTGGATTAAAGGATTTGCCAAGCAATTTGTTAAAATAAAGATGGATGAAGCCTAGGTGGCACACTAATAAATTGCTTAAAGCTGATTTTTATAGAGTGGAATGAGATGGGAAATTATAAACAAGATTTGGGTCATAGCTTTTCGCTGCATGCTTGTTTTTAAGAGGATTTTTGGGGGTCCCATCTAAGTACAGGTGAAGAGCAATTTAGAGATACGCTGGCTCCAAATCAACGTTGCTGCACACCTCGTTAAGCTGAACTAACATAAAGCAGTTGCGGAGTACTTCCAGCAGTTGTTTTGCTCTTGCTTTGCCTTACACGAGCAGCAGAAGAGGACGCAGAGCAGCGGTGGTAGGCCTGGCATCCTTTGTGCTGAAAGGCAGAGGAGTGCCAGGGTATTTGTCTACTCGGTGCAACGTGGAAGCAGATGGCTCCTGCTCCTTGTAGTGGCTGCGGAGCTGCGCTACCATGCTTGGTGAAACAAGAAACCTGCCCGGGCAAATGTAGGCCTGTACAGCTGGAGGGATGACTCCAGGAGGGGAAGTTTGAGGTGTATGACTTGACCAGGCAATTTGAGGGTTGAATGGCAGCATCGCTCTTACTCTGCAGGGGACTGAATTTCACTTTTCCTGGGAGATTCTGCCCACTTTGTATTTACTGAGTTGTTCCAAATTTCTAGAGCTTAATTTGGCTTCAAAGCAACATTGAAGCTGCCATTTCACTGAAGGCCACTTCGTTTGAAGAGTGGAAAAATCAGGTGAAATTAAGTCGTGACTTTAGAGCCATTGATGCACCGATGCAATAAGGTGGCCTCCTAGAAGCAAGTCTTTAGGGGTAACACTTTGGGACCGTGTTAGCTTATGAAACTTCACAGGTTAGTGGACCTATTTCTGGCAAATGCTTTTTCTTCCGCGTTCAAAGCCTATTGTACTAATCTCTTTGTGGATGGGACCAAAGCAGCCATCCTTGTTGTGCCAAGGAATCCTCTTCCAGTGACTTGCTGTTCTGGAGTGCAAACAGGAACAAAGGCTTTGGGGCTCTGTACAGAGCGAGCTTGGAACAGAGAAGAAGAGCTGAGGGATAGATTAAATGGATGATACAGACAGGGAGAGTGAACCAGGTGTTGGCTGGCGGAGAGGAGGAGCAGGGACACACAGGAGGTAATTAGTACCGCTCCAGCAACCGGTAGAGAGTGAGTCACCACATGCGAAGGTGGATGTGCTAACTGGGTCAGCGGAGATGTGAGATCAATTGTACCGCTGGAATATCGCCTTATTTTTCCTTGGAGGAGTTCACAGTCAAGAGGATGAGGGGGTTAGCATAAACATTTTGACAGAAGCACGGGCAGGCATCGGTGCTCCCTGGATGGATCACGCCGTGTAAATCCGTAACTTTTGTCCCAGCGGTACCTGACACTGCCAGGGCTCACTTCACGGAAATCTAACACCCTGTTGGTTTCTTTCTGTGCTTAATGAGCAGGATGACAAATACTGGGCAAGGCGTAGAAAGAACAACATGGCTGCCAAGCGCTCGAGGGACGCGCGCCGGCTGAAGGAGAACCAGATCGCCATCCGCGCCTCGTTCCTGGAGAAGGAGAACTCGGCTCTGCGCCAAGAGGTGGCCGACTTACGGAAAGAGCTGGGCAAATGCAAGAACGTCCTGGCGAAGTACGAAGCTCGACATGGCCCTCTGTAAATTCGAGGAGGGGAGCGGGTTTTTTTTTCTTTTTTCTTTTTCTTTTTTTTTTTTTTTTTTTTGTCGCGGGTTGGCATTTGAATAGATGGACAATGTGTTTCCTGTTTGATAGCACCACACCCAAACCAACCTTTCTGTCTTCAGCACTTTACCAGAAGCAGAAGCAAAACTGACTTATGTTACTTTTTTTTTGGTTTGCGTATGCGTGTACCTGTGTGTGTGTGTTCACACGTCTGTGTGTGTGTGTGCATGTGTGTGTGCGTGCGCACGCATCTCAGCACTTCCCGTTTTTATGAAGCCCTCTTCAAAGGGTGCCACGTTTTTACCTGGACTGTTGAGAGCCACCATAGTAAGCTTTTTCTTACATTTTTTCAGTGCTGCTTCAGATTAGGGTTTTTATGTTGTTGTAACCGGTTCCATCCTCCTGATTTACTTGGAAAGATCCCAGTATAAATTATAAAAAAAAAGGAAAAAAAAAAAAAGAAAAAAGAAAAAAAAGTAGATCTCAGTTTTTTCGAGAGTAACAAGCTATTGTTTCAGTATGTCTAATCAGAAAAGTTAACATGCTAATAAAGTGCACAAATAATAATTTAGTACTACACTGCAGAAATATTAATTTATAGATTGCTTTTGTTGTATTTTAAGTTTTGGTGATAATTGTCTTCAGATTTAAAGTGCTGTTAGACTGAGTTAGCTGTACTCATTATAGATCCCATAATGGCTTCTCTGTAGCTATTAAGGTTCCTTTTCTTTCCACGGACCCCAGGTAGGTAGGAGTTCTGTCGATAGACCACAGAGTGTGTGTTTTGCACTGTCTGTACCTGAAGCAATAATCCTATTGTACGCTAGCGTGCATGCTGCCCGGATGTTCCTAGTGGACGTAGGATGGTTTCCCTACCCAACAAGAGTTTTAATGTCTTTAACAAAAAGTTAAAAAAGTAAAAGACACGTTGACGTGAGCATGCTAATTGTATGCCTGCTCTAGGGAGCACATGTGTAAGAAGCAGGATAATTAGTTGAAATGAGAACAAAATTGATAGACTCAAATCAGATCCGATGTCAAAATCAGAGGGGCTTTTCTGTTTTCAGTTAGTTACGCATTTCTTCAATTTTGTGGTTAAAAATCAAATAAATGCCTAAATTTAATTGTTTTTTTCCCCATGTTCTGTAATATATTTTCTGTGGATTATATCTTGCTGTTTTAAAAATCACTTTTATTCAGTTAGAAGAAGTCACTGGTTTGCAAAGCCCATTTTTCCTAGTGATTGTTGTTTTGAGTGTGACATGAACTGATGGTTCTGAACTTTATTGTTTTAAACTCTATTTGCTTTGGAACACGTATGTTCTAATATAAAGTGGACTTCTGAAAAATGAATGTAAGAGACACTGGTGTATTTCAGAAGGGGATGGTGTTGTCATATACTGTGGTTAATCCAATCAATCTAAGTGTTTACTATAGACCAAAAGAATAGATATTATAAAATGTATAAAGTTTATACAGAATAATTATAGTATGTTCGTTTTGTACAGTATTTTTCAAGTACAAATACTGACAATGTATTTTGAAAGACATATATATAGCAAAAAGAAAAAGCTATTCCATGTTTAAAATATATAGCAAAGATATATATTCTCCATTATTGTACAGAAAGGAAATGCTTAGGGGTTTGTTGGTGGTTGTTTTTTTTTAAAAATCTTTAATATTTTAAGCCTGCCACTGGCACACTGGCATGTTCTGTGCTTTAAATTAAATTTTTATGGAAGTAGTATGGCTTTCCGGGATGTTCCATATTACTGAAAAAGAGAGACTTTCTTAATTTTCCATGAGAAACACATAAAGAAACTGTTTAATAGGGACAAAGCACAACAAGGATTTTAGTCAACTATTGATTGGACAATACAATATTTTGTAAAGGCAGAAAAATAATTTATAACACAAAAACACTCATAGTCATTTCTGATCTGCTGCTGCTGCTGCTGCTGCTAGAATCTGTTTCCAGCTGAATTTTTTTTTAATAAATAGCTCTGTTCACGTATACAGTTGTACGTACTGCGTACAGTTATTAACGTGAGGAAAATATGGTGCTACATGTCTTGCTCGCAGTTTTCTAAGTGTTTTGACATTATTTTCAAATAAAAAGGTTGTTCATTCCATTAAATCATTATTCATGCTTCAGGAGATTGTTACAAAGGACTCAACGTTTTGTGCAGCATTAAAAATACCCTCACATCAATGGCATTTTTTCCAGTGTTTTTCCTCAAACATACCCGACTTGCCCGTGTCCCTTAACGTGCAGTAGTTGCCTGGGGACCATTTATTCAGCAAATTGAATTTCGGTGTGCTGCAGCAAAGTTTGAAGCGTAGTGAGTTCTTTTCGAAGGGTCGGTGTGAGCCACTGGATGCATGGGTGGAGAAACGAGACGGACGGCGTTTGGCACGGGTCGGGGTATCTGCTATGGGCACCATGAAATCCACCTCATTTTTTCCTTTGGGAGAAGCGTGGCCGTGGCAGGGCGCAGCCAGCCGCCGCCGCGGGTAGACTTTTAGCAGCAACGCAGCAAATGGCAACAGCTTATGATCAACCTCCCGGC